TGAGAGGAGAGAAATAAAACAAAAAGCAAAAAAAAAACGCCCGAAGTTCAATTTACTCACCATGTTTGACAATGAGCTTTTTCGTGACGATCGTATTTTCTGTGATCACTCGTTCTAGCACATCTTCTGTGACAATATGCTTAGCAAAAGAATTCGGATATCGATCCCAGAAAACCGATACGACTTCATCAAATGAGTATGGAAATAAGCCCGTAGGAGCGGACCAAAATCGCATTCCTGCAATTGCCACAATAGTAAAATGACGTTAGTTAGGATAGAAATTGAAATCACGCACAAAAACCACCACGAAACTGGGAATGGAGTATTTTTAGCAGAAGTTCGCTGGTTGGGCATAAATGTCGTTTGGCTATCTCAAGGGCAAAAAAACGACAGCAATTTCGATTGCGCATTTTTCTAAAGTGAACACGAATGGGATAGGTTTTTAAAGCTTGTATGATAACCTATGATTTAGACACGCCTAATGATTTCGAAAAAACCCAACTATCACGTTCTCTCGATTGATTACCTACCAGTACAGCCTCGGGCAAAAACACGGGATCTTTGAGTGTAATCACGTATCCGCGCAAAAACAGTAACCTAACGCCTAGTTTTATGTCCTATTCATCCTATAGGGTTGATGCATCCCTGAAAATAGGTGTAGTTAAGTGAGATGGAACTTTAAGTCAATCCTCAACCCTGGGCAATCAAAAGACATTTCTGAGTTATGCAGAAATGTCTTTTGATTGCCCATGCAATTACAGAGCTAGTTCATCCATGGGCGATGACGTGGCGCGGCCCATGAAGCCGCTCTCACTTCGTGGGCGTAGACCCATTTCACTCAAATCGACTCATACTAGAAGTTGAAAAATAGGCTATTTATTCGTTATCAGTTGCAAAAATGTGCAGAGTAGAGATGTGTGGCGCTGCTGAGCTGAGGCGCGCAGACCCTGGACCGAATCCCACTCAGGCCAATTGAACCTTCCATTTCACTCCGTGCGTTTATTTCATGTCGTGCTCGTTTGGGAAGGCAAAATCATCCATTCCAATGTAATTTGGCTTCTGGAAGTCGTTGTTACAGTAACCAACAATCGATGTAACTGTTGTTGCGAAGGATCGGACGCGTGATGCATTCCAGCAACGAATCAGTGAACAATAGGGACGCGAAAGTTAGTTTATCATTAAGGTTTCGATGTAACATTGGCAACGTTGAAGAGTATAAAACCAATATTTAAAGACCACGCCCATTCTACAGTAGCATCGGCGAATACGGTAATCCAGCACGATTTAGTTTGTTTAGAAACTTCGAGCAGACGACGGGACCAGTTGTCGCCATCTGAGCTTTGCTACTCATCATAGTCTGGATTGGTCAAACTTGTGGAAGCCAGTTAAGTAAATGTTTTTCAAGTAACAAACGTTGATAACAGGAAGATAAGGCTGATACTGTCTTATCCTTCAAGGTACCAACCGCAACTAGAAGGTTTCAGTTTGAGTTTGTGCTGCTGACGTCATGGTATCGCTCTTTACACCTGTCGTGAGCCTTCTATTGCTGTGGTCGAACGGAGTAGTAAGCCATTACGAGGTACGCAGTATACATTACTTTGAGTGGGAATGTAGTTGGAGGGGACCACTTTCTTTGTACTTTGCCTCTCTAAGGCTTAAGATTAAATGGGAGAAGGATGGCGTGCTTGGGAACGATTCCGTTCTAGGAATGGGGGCTTTTTCGTCTTAACCCAGGGAGGGCGGAGCACCAGGGTGAGTGATACACTAACCCCATGAAAAAAGTTGGAATGGAAGATCGATTAACGTGCGCGATACTGTCTCGTTGAGAGAGCGCAGACAAGGACGCGAAAAAGTGGCACCTCCTGACCGCATTTTTGAATAAGTTCTTAACAAAAAAGCCCTCAAGACTCTTCTTTCCATTCCATATGGCTTTCTCACCCTTTAGAAGCTATTGACGAATGCATTTATACGATTCTTTTCTTCAGATCTCTCTTGAGGAGGCGAAAAATCTCCTAAAAGAAGTTGAAGCTGCAATAAACACTGGAAAGAGAAGTGCCTCGGAGTCAGATGATGCTGAGGATGCGTATAATGCTATGATGGAGTTGCCAGACCATCGGCGAACCAAACGACGCATAATTGAGAAGTCCCCAAAAAAAGCTCGAGCAAGTGATTTGCAGGCAGAAGCTGGAACTAACCAGATGCGTACAGGCAGGGAAGAGCCACCTCCCGATGCAAGAGATCCTTCACTGTCTTCTGTGGATGATACGGGACTCCTGTTTCCTCGTTCTTCAGAAAAAGAAAGATCGAAAAGAGCAGTGAAGCATAGGAAACCTCGTCGTGGTAGAAAGACTACAAAAGGCAAAAGACGGCCGCGGGATACCGACGATGATGTACCAGCTGAATCGAATATGACAGCATCCAACTCCACTGATTTGCTTGGCAATGGTAGGAAAGCTCTACATCCTAAGAGTCTGTAGAAACCTCTTGTCAACATAATTTATTTCTTTCCAAATAAACTTTGGATGTAGCAGTTTTGAACATGAAGCCAGTCCCTCATGGGAACTAAGATCAATATATCAGCCATGCGAAGCTTTACAGCATACCCTGAACATCTGGGCGAATGCTCCTTCAAGTGAAAGATCAAGAGCATCGTTGGTGGAAAGGGACGATGATGATGATAACCCTTCCCGTTCAGACCTTGAGAGGCAACTCAAACAGTAATGAGCAGTCATCTGAAGCAACACTAAACCCAGTTCGCGAATACGATCCCCTTCGCTACGAATTCCGCAACACAAACTCGACCTTGCTCACAGCTCCCCTAAGTGTGCCGTGAAGTTGGTCCTCGTTTAGGAATGTACTTTCTTGGGCTCTGTGTGGTACGTACCACGACCCATTGAGTTACCCACCCCATACCCAAGTGGGTAGGAGCTATGCGGGCTCCTTGAATGGAGAATAACTACATGGAGACCATGATTGGCAAACCTGCATTTCCGACCTTAACCTAGTCGGACAAATAGAGTGCGAGGGGTGTAAACGAATCGGCACTCTACAGATGCAGGCCTACAGGGTTCACTCCGAAGTCCACTTGGAAGATCATATCGTACTCATCTTGTCCTTCCTCGATTGTTTCTGGGATGGCTCCATAAGTTCCAGAACCAACCCAGGGCTAGGTCAAGTAGGCTTCCAAGGCTTTCTACGTAGAGCTGGAACTTTTGGGCAGCCTACCTTTCCTACCAATCTATACATCAACTACCAAGGTTATCTGTCCCATAGAGAAATAGCGCTGTTTCAGGTACTCAGGCTTCAGACTTGGACAAAGAGGAAAAAGAGGAGAACTCTGCCTTTTTTCAAAGGTAGCTTTGAAAGAATTGTGTTTTCCATTTTTGTTTATTACAGAGGACTAATTATTCAGTCTCAAATTGATCTATTTTGATGTCGTACTACTTTTGATGGTTATCTTCGCTTGTTTGTTTATTCTTAAACGACGAAAAGCTCATCGTAACCCTGAGTCGTCTAATCAACGTACCATCGGTAATGTTTACATTTTCGTTTTGATTAAGTACAAAATTCTCTTAGGAGATGATAATGCGCTGAGCTCTCTGTTGAAGAGGTCATTAGTCTTTATTTCAGATCCTTCAGTTGGATTTGAAAGACCGTCATATTGAGAAATATTTGGAACGAAGCGTATTACCATGTACGAATAAAGATATGACTTTCTCATACCGTATCTCAACACACATACAGTATTTGGCCCAATGTGGGCCCTAGATCAAAGCCGGGCCTTACACTCAGGGCAATCTCTTATCGGATTCGCGTGGGGAAGTAGGGCTATCTACATGTATTCACAGAGGGACCCACAAGTCGAAAAAATGAACCCAGTGACCACTCTGGTGCCATCACAATTCCGAACGGGAGTCGAGAGCGTGGCGTGACAAACCGAGGGTCTCTGTCACGCCCCTCTTCGGGCACATTTAGCCACGAATAACCCCACATTTTCCCCACCCAAACTATGCATTACCACCTGTTAGAGTATTCCACTGTGCGTATGTTCCCTACAATGGTATACGCTATCTACCCTGCCTAAAAAGCTTGAGCAACCGTGTGGTCCTTTTTTGCCATATTTATCTTCAAACAAGAAGTATAAGGGAGGACACAGGAAAGAAAGCTTCAAGGAAGTGAGGAATTGATAAAGAAGGAAAGGAATCCTGCCTGCAAATAGCAGCTAATTTCTATTACGTCACAAACGATCAATATTTATTGATTTATACAGATCATAAATTAGTGATAACGAAATGTATTTGTTGTAAACTCGGACAAAATGTCTGATACATAAGGCTGATCACATCACAGAAACAACAAACAAACTAATAAACAATGATAAATTCTCAAAATTGGCAACAATTTCATGCAGTAACTGCAAGTAACCACTTGAAGATTAAACGAAATAAATAAAAATGAGTAAACATCAATATGTCTTTGGGTTTAGTTCCGATTTCAAAAATGAACGGTCAAATAAAGGTACGGTCGAGTTTTTTTTCTGAAGAGAAAAAAGATGGGGGTAACATAGGCATACTTTGCAAACACTCAAATGGAAGTGAAATGGCGTTGGTCTTACGACAACAAACAGATAAGTATTAAGATTTGATACTAACGGACTTAGAGACACAGTAGCCAAGCGCAGTAGTATAGAAGAGATTCAGGCTGCAGCTGGTGATTGCGCAGTTTCGATGCGCCGTACATGTGCCAGGATTTCGCTAACCGTCTGGTGTCTCTTCTTTATAGCCGTACTTGGTTACTGTATTTCATAATCCGCGCACTGCGAATCAGAGTTGACTGCGAAAAAAAGAGCCTACAACTGAGAGAATCTCGAAAGGACAATTTAGTCACGGCACTTGGGTGGGCTAGCGAATGAAGTATACAAGTAGAAATCATCTATCTCAAATAACTAATTCAATTATGATTAACTTTGTATTTAATTATATACCTAATAAATATTAAATAATCAAATACAAATCTATTGGTTTTTAAAAGACAATCGAAGAAAATAAACGCAATAAATAGCAAAATCGACGGTCAAAAATGCAAAAGGAGCACTTCTCTGTTGTTTGCTGCACGACGGTCATCTCACGCTTTATAGCATTTACTAAAGTACTGCTTACAGT